GACACATTGTAGAAATCCTGGAACTATAAACCAATCTGGTGGGAGGTTTTCTCCCCAGTTGGCCTCCCTCCAGGCTAAATAGGTCCTGACTAATGGGCCTTTACAGCCAACACAGCTTTACTGTCTGGGCTACTGAGCTACTGAAAGACAACCCCATAACACGGGAAGGGGTGGCATGAAGAGTGGGAGCAAAGAAAAAATGGTGTGTGCATGTGTGAGAGAGTGGCAGAGCAAGGCAGGGGAAGTGTAAGTAGAGAGAGATGAAGAAACAAAGATTTATAAGGCTTAGGAAAAGTGCAGAAAAGCGATGCATGGCAGGAGAAAATCTACCACCATATATTGTTTGATATATTCCGACTCTGGGGACATCCACTGACTAGATTTAGGTTTATTGGCGTTGTTGGTGCAAAAGATTTAAGTTTTGTTCCAAGAGGATGAATCAATTTTACAGCAGGGACATTTTAAAAATGACTGCCACCATCAAGAAAAAAATAATATCTAATTTCGAACACAAACCTGCACATCATAGTCACAGCCTTCAACTGCTAAGTGTTAATGTTGTGGAACTTCAACTATTCTATAACACACTTCAGGTAACCATCTTTCAGAATATGCAATACTGCTATTGCTTTAAACATTTAGGACTTAATCTGGGTCACAGACCTGCTTCACTTCTGTGGCCACGTGACAAGTGCAGCCCTACAATCACATCTATGTTCAGGAACTACATTAAACATATTGGGTCCAGGACTGAAAATGCCTGCGTAGAGGGAAGAGGAGGAATGTGGAACACTTACTGCCTGGGGCTTGGTCGTCCTGGTCATCCGGGAAGAGATCGTCCAGAGCTCTTTACTGGAGTCAGAGTCCTTCTCCTCCTGAGAGGATAGTGAGGGAGTGGAGGAGACGGGAGAGAAGGCGGACAGAAATAGAAGACAATGAATGAACTGACCCAATCTTCTTTAAATTCGTAGGAGAGCATTACACACTACTTATTTATCTACTGACATAGTTGTCTGTAGGCCGGGACGCGTCAAGCACATTTCAAAGAGTTAAAATACTCGAGATTGTTTATATTGATAACTTTAAAATTGACTCCGAGTTCAAGGAAGTGAATTAAAAGACAAAATGGAAGGAATCAGTGGGGAGAGAAGGTACACCGAGAAATAAAACTTAAGGAATGAAAACTACATCAAGAAACAATGCTAACTATTCTGGAGGAAGTAAGGCTTAATTTGCCCTTTCTAGTTTGAATGTGATGCATTCTTGTCATGAATCTTAGGGGATTTCTATCTGTTCTCACCGATTAGTCACCATATATATATAGTCGACGTCATGTGAACGGCCTGGAGTCCCTTCATCTGTCCTCTGGCTGGGCATGCGTCGATCAGACTTTTTCCCCTCTAACCCATGACTCAGGGTTCACAGATACAGATTACTGATACAATTCAAGTACTTTCTACCCCCAATTTAAAAATCTGTAGGTATCCCTAAATTAACTTTGACATGAGGTCAAGGATTGCGGTGGTAAAAAAGTCCATGGCCTCTCTAACTAACTTAATGTAATGAATAGAAAAAAACACTTCTGGCTGATACCAGATCTGCTTCATAAGGTCAGTATCCCTGCCAATACAGATCCATAGTGTCAGATCGGTGTATCCCTACCCTGTCACTGGAGTTTCTTTGTTTTGTAATTCTAATTCAGTCATAAGATGTCTGGTCAAACATGTGGGCAGGATAACACACTCTGAAGAAGACCTGAGGACTCACAGATGGGGACAAGTCCTCGTCGTACTTCTTCAGCTGGTTCATGAACTCCAGGTGTTTCTTCTCCTCCTCCAGCTGGGCCACACTCTGCTCGCTCTTCTGCAGTTTCTGCTGCGTCCCGGCCAGCTCGTCCCTCAGCCACTGGTTCTCCTGGCAGAGCCGGCGTACCTGAGCCCGCAGCTTCTGCTTCTCCGACTCCACCGAACTCAGGTGGCTCGACAGCGCCATCATCACCTGGACAAAAAGGAGCAGGTTTTTCTTAACACACAAAGAGTTGCTTCGTAATTTAATAATACAAATAAAACCACATAGCTTGGATCGTGGAGTTATCAAGAAGACATAAATTCAGGTATCGCCAAAAAAACCAAAACACATTGGGGTAATAATATTTATATTAGTTCCTAGTCCTTTACAGATGACCCTGGGCTGAGCATTAGGCTGACTGGGGCTGTATAAAACATTTATACCAAAACTTTTTATTCCTGTGATATTCAAGAGTATCTCAAAAAAAGGATCACAATACCAAAATATAAATAAAGAACTAAAACTAAACTGCCAGGTGTACACTCCCCACCAGAGCCAAAAATGTGTACATTACCGTGAGGCCCTTAGGGTAAAAGCATACACCAAAGAGTATACGGTCTAAGGTGAGAGGCTGGAGGGGTGTAATTAGACCAAGAGTTTGAAGTGTAAAGACATTAGAGGTGCCAGGAGGAAAATGATGCAGAAAAATGTGAATCACACTGTACTTCAGCACAACTGCAAGCTACCCAAAAAGCTGAAGGTGGATATTAAAGTCTGCATGGTGCAGTGTATTGTATATTTAATAGACAAAGCCTGCTGGGAGATGGAGAGGAGATGCTGCGACAGTGAGTCATCAGTGACTCACTGGCCGATGTTTGCCAACTGGGAAATGACACAACTGATTGTTAGCTTAAACTTTCTCTGAAAATTATGTATTTCTAAAATGTTTTATTTCTGAGCTTAGAAGATAAATAAAAGGGTGACACAGGGGTGTTTAAACTTATATATCTGCACTGGAATTTATGTGTATACTTTGTTTTCTTGGTCTGTTATTATTTGCATCACTACAGCAAGACAGATTGCTGTCAGCTAAAGGTCACTTCACACCGGCAGCATTTTTTAAGGTTTCTGGAATATTCTTGAAGTCTGTCAGTCTGAATTCTCATGAATCAAATGTTCTTTCTGCTGTAAAACTTTGATTAATAGCCGGGCTTTTATTTGCTAAAATCACTGAATTGACCCTGCTTATATCTGGACCGTCCATATGGGACAGGCCTTTAATTCCTTTGCACAAAGCTAAAATAGGCTACTAAGAAAAAGTTTATTTCAAACAGTATGAATATTACTTTATTAATAATATCAATACGCTCCAACAGATGGCTTATGCACTTTAATTTTGGCGAAAACAAGCATACCCAACAACAGGTGCAGGGTGTGCAGAGAAAAGAGAGCAGAGAGCAATGGACTTCATGTGACAGTATTAAAAACTTGGATGAATTTTTATAAAGAAGCTGTTTTGATTCTTTTGATCAGTGGACCCTTACAGACTAAAGGAATATAAATAATAAAGGAATGGACACATACGGATGTAACGACAGTTCAAAGGTAGGGAGTCTGCACTTTTTTTTTTTTTCTTGTTTACCATGCCGATAAATCTGAATGAGTTAGGCTTTGGGGCTAATTGTTTCTGTAAATGAACTAAACTAATGAACTGTGGAGAATCTAACCGATCTAACGATATGTAGCATGTCCATACTCTCAAAAGTAGAAATATTTATACTTGTATTCATGATCTAAGCAGCTTAGAACTAGCTAAAGCGGGCAACCCAGCGGGCTTTAACAGGTTTTAACATTACACATAACGTTACCCCACAGCAGGCCAGTTAACGGAGTAGGCGGCTATTGACTTGGTTATTAATGGAAGTTTTACGGTATGTAACGCCTCCTATGGAGCCTACCTGAACTTTTTCTACATTGAATGTCCAATTTTAATCGGAGCCTTGTGGCTGACAGGACAGCTGGTTCAGAGGATAGTGACACCGTAACAAGTTGAAGAACAAGCCTGCTGTTTCAGTTGATAGTGATCAAGACTGGCAGACTCTGGGAAGCTGTAGAGACATACCTGTGCCTCACTCAGCCCGAGCTCCAGCATCTCCAGGGACTTGCGGATCATGTGGGACTTCTCCTCCACCAGGACTCCCTCCTCATCCTGCTTCAGGCAGCGCAGCGTTCCCAGCAGGCCGTCCAGGATGGAGTGGTGCTCCTGCTTCAGGGCATCCAGCCCCTGGATCACCTGCTTGGTCCGGGAGATGATCTCATCCTGGGACAGCTTCTCCCCAGGGTCCTCCTCCTCCTTCACGCACACCATGGTGGACATGTCCTCACGCATCCTGCAGATTTAACAACAGAGGAAGGAAAGCTGATGTCAGAATGATATATTTTGCATGTAATAGGAAACTCTGCTCTGAACTGCTTGAAAACAGCTTGTTTGTAGTCCAGCCTTTTCCCTTTTATCCCTGTGACGTCACATCAAAATGTTCCCTCTGAAACTCTTGCTCCAGTCCATGTTGCTAAGCTGTTAAGGGGAAAATTTACAGCTAAACCAAAGCCATGTTTACTGGCTTCTCACGAAACGCCCTACTCTGCTTCTGATTGGCTAGTAGTCCTTAACTAGGAACTGCGCATGTGCAACTCTCAACAAAGATCTTGCAGAGGCAAGATGTATCACTCCATAGCTAAAATGAAGCCTTCAACCCACAGGGTGAAAAGTGGAGCTGCAGCAATGTGCAGTATGAAAATATGATGTTTTTTTTTTTTAATGAAACCATGTAAACCTGTTCTGGTAGACCTCTAAATAAGATTTTGACCCTGAAAATGAGCATAATATGACCTCTTTAACTAATGCTGTATTATGCAGTATGTCCCAGGAGAGGAGACAAATCAAAACAGTGTATATGTTAGCGCTTGCTGCAGTAAAACTTAAAAGGTCGTAGACAGGACCATTGGGAAAAGGGGAAGTCACAGACTGAGCTTCAACAGAAACTTGTACCATATTGATGAATGTGGAGAAACCATTAATGAGCAAGCACGTAACCTTCAGATGTTTCATTCAAAGTTGTTTCCTCCTGACCTTTTCTGGTCACATGGCCTCTACACAGCCTTTTAAAGCCCTGCCAGTGATTCATCTCTCTTTACGATCAATACTCAGAAAAAGGTTAGACCCATGTGTTTGTGACTGGACATCTCTCGGTTCAGGGGTATCGCTCAGGTTGAGAGAATTAATAAGAAAGGTTCATGCTTCCCTCTCCAAATAAAGTCAAGGTGCCTTTGAGAGAGGAGCTGACTGACCCACCTGCTCTGCTTGAAACGCTCAGTACAGCGTGTGAGCAGCAGCACATTGAGGAACACGGGTTAAAATGTAATGCGGCATTTGTAAAAAAAAATGCTGTTTGAAGTGCTTGAAGTGAAAAAACGGGAGGAGTCATCACTTAAGATGCTTTTAGGAAAGAAAAAATGGGGGACTTTGGTGTAGCTGTGATGAAAAGTTTAACCCAAAACCACAGACACTAAACCTGCAGCCTGCTGACAGTTCAAATCCTGATCTGAGGCTTGTGGGCTGTGTGTGGTTTACTGAAAACGACAGATATGAGGTGAGGATTGTCAAAAAATAAAACTCTGACACAGTGAAAAACTTAACCAGAGAAAGAGTGGCTGCCTCCAGTCTTCACGTTTGTTTTATGGTTTGTTATATAACATATATAACATAAAGTGTAACTCTTATAAATTTAAGTCATCATTTTTATTAGCTTCACCTGTATCTAGCCAGTTTTAATCCAACCAAAACAAACTGCGAAAATATAACACAATCTTAGAAAAAAAAAGTTAGACTTTTAGTTATAATTCAAATACAATTTTATAAATATCAATCCTCCATTGCAGTAAAGGAATAGCAGCCTTAAATGTTCATATTCGTAATTACAATAATAATCTGCTTCTTAGAGCTGCCATAATGCAGTCATAGCACATAATCAGATCCTGAATCAGCCTTGGTGATTAAGGAGGAAGACTACAAGGTGTAGCAGGTAAAACCGATGCTATTATTATGAACATATTAGCTAAACGATGCAGGTTCATATCTGTTCCCCTGACACTGACCCCCAAATCCTCCCCTGACTTTCTTTGTTTTGTATTCATTACACACACACAAACTTAAGAGGATTATGGCTCAGCGCTTCGGCAGCAGTTGTAGCGAGCTGCCTATTAAATCTCGGCAAGCATGATGAACTGAAACTGCAAACGCTCTCTAAGCTGAACAGTTACAGCAATTTACTGCCCAGCTCTGTGAAAAAAACAGAAATTAAACAACTTTAAAATTAGCCTTATCCTTAACAATCTAACATGTTGAAGCAGCGTGCCCACCTCAGAAAAAAAGCTGCTGTGGTACCAGGTGAAGCAGCAGACTTGTCCTGAACTGCCTCAGATTTCACATTTCAGTTCAAGTGTGGAAGAAAGAAAGAAGAAAAATAAATAAATAAATAAAAAACACAACTACAGCTGAAGATCGCCGTGAGCAGACGGAGGAAGAGTTATAACCCTGATCGCTCCATGTGACTCAGCAACCAGCCTGCAGCCTATCAGCTGACAGCAGGGCAGGAAACGGACGCTGTGTGGAGGAGGAGATTGAAAACAGCAGCTCCAGGTGAGCAGAGCTGTGCAGCAGCATGAGGGAATATTCTGTGAAATCAACTTGAAAAAAATGTATAACATGAACCTCACGCCTGAAAAATGTCCTAATATTGTTGGCAAACTGCCAAAAGGCTGATTATTATTATAATTACATGCAAAATGATTAGTATTCATCCTGTTGTTGGTGTTTTACTTGTTTCCCATGTTCTTAAATGACACTTTTATAATGCAATTACTTTCTTAGAAACACCTACAAATAAAAGAATTAGGATTTAATTATAGCTGAGCCTGCTGATTGTTTTCTCGATTAACCGATTAATTGTTTGGTCTGTAAAATGTCAGAATTCAGTGAAAAATGCTTTCTTGTTTAGTCAAATATTCCACCAAATCCTCACAATTAAGAAGCTGGAACAAGTTGACATTATGTTAATTAGGAAAATGCACATCATGTCAGACGCCAGTGTTTCCTTTGCATCCATTCAGCTCCCAATACCTCGCTGTTGTCAATGACCTTAAACACATATCCTTCAAGATGTAATGGTCAAAATAAAAGTTGTTCTTATGTCTCATCTTGTTTCTTATCCTTAACCCTTTGTTATTATTATACTCATTATACTAGTCTGTCCACATCTGCAGGGTTTATGTCAGAGCTGAGAAATTGTTTTATTGTTTCCCTTTCTAGCTGTAACTTCTCTGTCATTCTCTTTCATTATTAAATCTTTCAAAGACAACAGTTTTTGTAACTCAATTATTTGCCCTCAACAGTAATATAATATTTCCATGACCTAAAGCACCCCAAACTGCAAAGAACAAGACAACAACTATCACTGCAGGCTGCGTAATACAGAAGTGAAAGTGACAACGAAAGCCTTTCTTCCTGTTCTGATCCAACAATATTTTATTTCTAGCATCAGATGGGTCTCAGAGCACAAAGCATCATGGGGAAAGCCAGAAAAAACTATTTCTGATGTTAACTTTTGAAATGCAAATAGCTGCCTCGCAGCTGAGCGTCCGGGGATGCTGCAGCTCCTCATGTCTGCAGGTTCAGGCCGTGATATAAGGCAATGGGGAGGCTGAAGACAAATGTGGATGAGGTGGGGGTAGAATATGGATGAGAGGGGGTGGGTTGTGTTTGGGACCAATGAAGAAGAGGAATAGTAAGTGCTTGCTCTGGGCTTCATGCATGAGGATGGCGCTGGTAGCAAGAAGAGCAGCACTATGAGAACAATCTTAGTCAGCGATGTGTGGGCTGATAGTAATGATTCACATCCACATTCAAAAAGAGAGAGAGTCTGAAAGACTTAAAGTTCACTTTACAGGATTCCTTTTTAATTATCCATTATTTAAAGGAAGTTAGAGTTGTTCTATCTGTAACCTGTGAATCAAAACATTTTGAATTTGCAGAAAACTGAAAAGCTATGAGAGCTGCCGCTGAGCACAAATAACACAGCAGAAAAAAAGCTGTCTGACATTTTATCACTTTTTAAAGTTGCTTAATTACACATCCAACAGCTATGGAGCAACATTAGCATTCATTTAAAGTTGTGCCTTTGGCCATGTGACAAATTAAAGTCAGGTTTTAGCTCGATTTTGGCATTTTCACACTAAAACGTTCCACTTTCTTCACCAGTCAGTCTCCAACTTTGCCTGTCTCTACTATTTGGTGCTGGGCAGCCTAGGCTGTGGTGTAAAATGGGTTTGTCAGAGCTTTTTTTCAGGAAACATCTGCCTGTTGAGAGTGGTGACACAAAACAGTGTCACAGTTGGAGTCTGGAAACCAAAAACAAAAAAAGAAGCTAAAAGATGCTATAAAACTGTAAAGTTGGAGGGAACTGCAGAGTGGGCTGATAATTAGTCAAGTTATCCATTATTAATATAAAACATTGATGTTAGCTGCTTTAAAATGATCAAGCTTGTTTACGTATAGGGCTGCAACTAACGATTATTTTCATTATAGATCAGTCTGTCAATCATTTTTACGATGAATCAATTAGTTGTTTGGTCCATAATATATCAGAAAATGGTGAAAAATGTTTATTCCCAAAGGCCAAAGTGATGTCCTCAAATGTCCTGTTTTGTCCTCAACCCGATGATGTTAAGTTTACGGTCATAGAGGACAAAAGAAGCCAAAAAATATTTACATTTGAGAATCAAAATAGTTGCAGATTAATTGCAGCTCTGTTTATTTATATCTTGTACCGTTACTGTTGCACTTTGTGATCATGCTAAACATCAGTCTTACTCAACTATCCAACAGTTACTTGTGACAACATTAGCTGAAGAGGCCACAAAAAGGGTTAACAAATCAGGCTGTCACAGACATGACACGGCTGAAACACAGGAAATAACCAGTTAGATTGGGATCGATACTAAAACAGATTTAGTTGTCTGTGTCCGGTGGACATCAGGAACTACAGGCAACAGATCAATAATGCTGAGGAGGTGGAACAAAACTGCCTAATTCTGTGTAAGTTTATCGGCCTTAAGCTGTTGTGTATATTTGTCATTTCCTTAAATGAGTTTCAGGCTCACTTCTGAAAGCCCTCACATGACAAGACCAATAAAAAAAAAATTATTTCCATGAGCAAGCCTCGGGCGAGAGATTAAATTTATCATTCAAACATCTGAAGTGGTGGCTCTGATCTACGAAGACAGTAGTGGCGTCGCTCGCTCCTCGCTGCAGCACCCCTGAAGGCACCGAGAGAATTTACTGGATTTATTTT